CCCCCCCCTCTTCTCTCTCTCTCTCTCTCTCTATCTGTCTATCTATTTATCTATCTACGTCATGGTTAGAGCCATTGTTTAGGAGACGACACGAAGCATCTTCGATTACTCAATCGTGCCTGCCGATTGAAGCAGACATTTTTCGTGAATGTATCATAACTCTTCGCGAGTATTTCCCCGTTGCGGATTTCTTCCTTCTATTCTTATCCTTCGCAGGATAATATCGCTTCGCCGAGCGCGACATATGTTACGATGGCAACGGAGATAAGTACGACGTATAGAGAGAGAGTGAATGTACACGTTCCAATTTCTCCAAGTTATATTTCGACTGAAACCCGAGCGAAAGAACGAAACGAACCGTGTTCCCCCTTTACGTCGCCGATGTGGAAGCCGATACTTATCGATAATCGCGCTTGTGCAACGCAATCGTAACGGATATTTACGCCCCTTCTCCACCACCCCAGCGGTGACGCGCTAATTAATAGTGATTTACCGTCATTGATCCAATTGGAACCAATATTGTCAACCCTCGACGGAGAATTTGCATTATTTGACGAAGGCGGTGATATGGGTGCGAGAACGTGCGATCGACAGACTCTCTCTCGGCACGAACGTGTGCCGTATTGTGTAATTAGTCGCGTTAATATCTTGGCTGTCGTTCTCTCGCGCGATCACGAATTTACTTCACGAAGTTCGAGCGAAGTTCGAATTTCACGTGTCGAATTTCGCGTGTCGAAGTGAAAATTCTCGTTGAGCAAAATCGAGTTGATTCGCTGAAATAAAAATTTAGCTCCAGTTTCCAAGAGTGAAGGAATCCCTATTTCGAATGGCGCGCAAAAATTTCTGCCAACCTAATTTTGTAATACAATCCTCTGTAACGTGTACTTAGAGATTTTCTTTGGATCGAGTAAAATTTCTGTAATTGAAACAAATTTGTCTTTTGGAGTGGGGCAAACAAACGAATGTTTGATTCAACGAACAGGATTGTTTGGTTTTTTAAGCAATATCTTTACGTCAAATAATATATTTCTTTTATATTTTCATTCAAACATTACAATGATTGTCACAAACAATAAATTACTTGAAAGAAGTAACGTTATATCAGAAAAATATCAAAGACTTTTTGCTCCAGTGGAACAATATTTAATATATAATGAAATAAATTTTTTTCTATTGAAAACCGAATATTATTTCCTCTAAATAATACTGTTTTGTCTATCAAGCAACATGATTATTCTAATGAAATAAGACATGACATTAAAATATAATATTTATATTAAATAAACATATCCAATTCAAACAAACGCGTTCGCTAAATCCGAAGAAACCTTCTTCTCTGCGTAGTAATATTAATCGAAAATACGTAGCACTTGTAAACATAAATGCGTGTAACGAATTTGAATTTATTTACGCGTGTTACTTCTAAAATTAAATTTTTTAAATAATGTACTGAGGAAATAAACTATAACCCAAAAGTCTAGATAGTTAGAATTCCACGTGCAGCATTTGAAAACCAAATTGTCAGTATAATAGATAGATAATATTAAAAAAACACAGATAGGGCAAAATATTCGCTGTAATGAGTCCTGATAACTGTGGGCGAATGTCTGCACGGTACCATAAGAGAGCCGTGTCATATGCTAAGCGAACAATGGTACAAGATATTCCACGTCCTCCCCCCCCCTCCCCCGCTTCCTTTCACCCGCGAGTCAGTTCTCCGATCTAATTCGATCTTTTCACAAAATATGTCGTGCAGCTGTCACTTTGGAGTTACAAAGTTTGAAAGTGGGGGATTCCTCGCGAAAATATTCAAGCTTCGGAATTGTAAATAAATCCGCGAAATCTTATTTACCGTCTAATGTACACCTCACGTTTTAATAAAATTGTTATTTGGGACCCTTAGTTGTAAAAAGCATTTCGCTTCAAAATAAGATTTTCTCGAATTTCAGAATAGATTGAGAAGCCGCGTGAAAGTGAACTTCCTGATGGGAGGTTTTCATTCCTAAAATTATTTATCCGTTCGTAAAAAATCTCGTGAGTGAAAACTACGAACTTGTCCGTGTTTGAAGGTCTGAGTTCGCTGCAGCGCGAGATTCCACCGCAAATGGCATATCCACGCGATGCAACGACCTCCGACACTTTCAGATTACGTTCGCGCTTGGTTGGTCTGCTTCGCGCGAATTTATTTGCGCTGCGAATAAGAGTTATTGCTCCGAACGATCGATAATCGGGATCTTACCTCGCTTCCAAGAATGTTATTAATACGAGACTTCCCATTAGGAACTCGCGGTATTTCGATATTAGATTCCTGCGGAATCCCGGCAAATTGTCGATCACGCGTGGACGTGATGGCGTATTTTTGCCGGATATTCGCGGGAAAGTACATTCCCGAAATTGCACCTAGTGAATCTAAAGAAATATCCCTTTCGTTCGCGCGGATCTATCCTTTATCAAATCGCTGAAACGTACGTCACTTATCTCTGCTGCTTTTTTTTCTAGCGCTTCCTGTTTTTTTCAAGGTGTTCCTCTTTATCGCGGCTTTCAATCGGTTACGTGGTTTCCGCGACGAGGTCTGCTAAAAGCCAGCTAATGATGAGTCGCTTTTATCAGTACCACAATGTTGACTAACGCGCTAATATGTCCCTCTTAATTGGGTCTCCGAGTTTCATAGCGTAAATATCTAAGCGTCCCATGGAAGTGAAAGTTGAGGGATATTCTATGTACTTCTGTAATGCGTTGCACAACCTGTCGTCGTCACCTGTACGAGATAACAGCCGGGAAAAATGAATGATACGAACGTACTCATGGCGATAGTGTTTAATTCTCGCGTTCAATTCGCGTGTTCCATCGGAACAATGGCGTTTACTCAAGACGAGTAATACACAAAAGCTACGTGCACGCTTGATCGAAACGCGCTGGTTTTTAAAAGCGCTCCTCAAGGTATCTTTATCTGCAGTGTTTACATATTTTAACGTTTAAATGAGTAATGCGAAATGTTTTGTTTTGAAAATCTTAACTGATAAAGAATAGACGCTTACGAAAGATTACAAGGTGTTACAAATAGACTGTTTTTGAATGATTACGGGTCGTTTCTCATTCCGAAGAAGTAAACTGAATTCTTCACGAAACGTCGGAAACAAATCTATGAAGGACGCGGCCTTGACTCGAAGCCCGAGAAAATTTTCTTATATATAATTATATATAGAATATGTCCATATATAAATATAAATATAAATAATATAACTGTATCACCACTTCATACATAATTATATATTTTTTTATACGGACATATACGACATCTCATATATAATTATATCTAATTATATATGGGAAATTTTTTTTATATGGAAGCTAAATTAAGTATTACAGGATATTATATATACTACGGTGTTAGATCCCTTGTACGGCAGAATTTTGCAACATTTCATTATCAATTTTAATTTGATTTCAATCTTTTATCGCTGCGTTGTATCATCGTGTATATTTATATCGTCGGATTGTTTGTAAATACACAGTATTGCGGTAATTCTTTCAAATAATCGCGCAAGCGTTCAATCGATCGATTGATAAGGTGCCAATACGCGGAGATAGTTCACGGGCGTGCCTTATCAGTACCGTTACAGCCCTGAAATGTTACTCGTTGCATCGCGACTTATCTCATATATATATATATCGTGATTCGTCGTATTCTCGCGCATAGCCGTTTTTCCCGCTCGCAATTTTCACACTTACGGCCGCTCGGTTTCCTCAAATCTTTTTATTAACTCGTGCGGGCAATTGTTCAAACAAACAGGTAAGATGCGTTATCTAGATGACGCATAAATGCGCACGCGATATGCGGTGATAACAGTTTTGCGAAAACATAATCTCGAGTAAACAGTCGGTGTACGTTTCACCATATTCTGCTATATTCTAAGCCTGCTTTCTCTTTAGACACTTACGAGTTGTAAGCGTAATTCAATATTTATTGTTCATGTACATGATAAGAAAGATAAAGTAACGCTTACTGGGTGCGCTCAAAGCGAACGTAGCCTAAATGTGTGCGTGCGTGCAAAGGTTTAGTGATTAAAAAAATTAAAAGAGAAAGACCAAGGTCAGTATGCAGATTGGAGTGCGAAGTAAATAAAGTATACCCGCCCGATATGTATGTATAAATTTTTTTTTCAATTATTTTTAATCTGTATAAAACAAAGTAACGTAAAGTCGAAATGGTTAGCAAAATGTGAACTATATATTGCATTCTTGTGTAACAGAATAGAGAGCTGTTGACGTTGCGCCTGAGGTAGACATTATGCGAAATAACAGTATCATAAGTAATTAAGTATATGCGTTGTATATAATATATTAAAGAAAAAGAAGAAAATATTTCACGGAAAATAATTAAATTCCAACGGATTTGAATCGACAAATATTCTTTGAGAACAACTGGTGTTACTTCTCCATCCGCTTTCCTATATTTTATTCAAAATTTATTGTGCCAAGGTATCTCATCGTAATTCGTTAATTACACTGTAATAATATGTCTGTGATAATAATTATCGGAGCATAAATATAAACATAAATATTTTAAATAACTTTCTATCCATCACATTCATACTTTCACATAATATTTGCGAATGAATATAATACGCCGCAAGGTATCGCTAACAACTGTTTAAAAATGTTATGTAATATTATCAACTTAACAAAAATATAATCACACAATAATAAAATTCAAATCAAATTCGAAGCAGTAATCTGGAAAATATTAGTTACTTGTTGATCTTTTTTACAACTAATCATTATCATTATCACAGCACTGCCAGTTCCTAAAGTCACCTTTTGTCACTTTTTCTTGAGTTACTAAAAAATCCATTACTCGAAAATGGGATATTATAGTAATTTTTTTTTAACTGCCGTTAAATTTGTAAAATATAGACGTTCTATGTATATTTTCTATGTATATTTCTCAATAAAACTGCTCCAAAAGAGCACTTATATCGTTCATACTCTTGGTTTTTCCTTGTTATAAACTTTCAAACTGTACTTCGAAAAAAGCTATATGTTAAACTATCCAAAGAAAACCTGGGAGTGTTAGAATAAGTGTTACTTTTTTGCTTAAATGCTTTTAATTACTCTCAGAATTTGACAAAAATGTTACTTGGTTACTATTTTGATGTCTGAGAGGGCACTTTTTGTCACCTTTTCTGCCAAGAAGCAAACACTATTTCACTTTTTTGTTCCGGTGACTGGACGGAGCAGCGCTGTTAACATAATTTAAAATTAATATTTTCTGCTTTTAAAAATTACGATTCAATCGTATCCGAGAGAAGAATCTTTCTAATATATAAATATTTTATCTCCCCGTCGTTTCGTTTCTCAATTCAAATATCTCATTCAAACGATCTGGTGTGATAGGTGAGTCAACATTTTTTTTGAAATGTGAAAAAGTTAACCGGATAAAAGCTTTGAATAAAAGCTACCGGAACGCAACTGTACAATCGACTGTTCTCATTCGTTCAGGTTCCTATTAGAATGGAATGTCGATATGCTGGAGCTGTAACGCTTGAGCTCGTTTCTTCCCGTTTCAAAATCCGTTCGCTGCTCGCCAAACGAACTGCTAGAGCGGCACGAAAGCCTATCAAAATACAAACTGATTCTCCTCGATGCCAAATCTTTCATTGAGAGAAGCGTCTAAATTCTTCTAAAATATTCTACTGTGATACCAGAAAATTTATACGAATACTGAATAAATTAATCTTGAAATTCAATTTCTTACTTATATAATTTGTTTTTAAGTATACAACTGTTTTACTGTTTGTACAATTTAAGAAAGTGGGTAAAAAATTTATGGACGTGCAGTGTGCTCGTAAGAACAAACGAGAAATATATACGGTTAATATTCGGATCTCGACTTTCAGGAAACATTACGCGGATTTGTTATTTATCTGCACGCGACATATTGTAAATATAGCTGTATCGCGCTAAAATTTTTATTATCTCTCGATAAGGTACTGCACTGTCGGTACAGGTACCCAACTGTCGCTTATACTAAGATTATTACAGTTGCATAAGGCGGTGAAGAAGATTAGCGAAATGTTCTCGATGCAATTCTTATTGATTAATGAACAGGATACTCGTGCAACAGGTGCTTAGCGTGTAGTAATACCACGTATCCAACTATCATTGAATTGTTTTATTTCTATTATTGCCTTCACATTATAATAATTTTATATTGAATATAATATTCAAATGACGGAAATATATTATCACTTCTTTGCGGTTCCGTGCAGTATTATCAATTTATCTCGATTCAAAACTTTCCAGAATATCTGGTTTTACAACTTCCACTAATTCTTCATCTTATCACGGCCAATCGCTTAGAATATGTGTATATTGATAAGATTTTCTGAGAATAAAAAGTAGTTTAAACAACATGATAATGTCGTCCGGTAAGACAGTTAGTATTCTTGTAAGATTTGAGTATTTCAATAACTCGACCGAAATACACGCCGAAATTTGTTAAATGTAAACATATAATTACGTAATAATAATTGTACATTAAGAACAGTAATATTTTGCTATTATTAACCCCGTTTATTTAATTTCTTAAAAAACTGTAATCGTTCCTCTTGAATATTTTTCGGAAACGAAACTAAAAGAAGTAAAACGAAAGTGAAGATGTGAATATAACACCGGCACGTCAACGTAAGTTGCGTAATACGTAGCCGCATATTTAATACATAATGAGGATATCGCAGCGTCTAGAGATGTAACATCAGTGAGAAGCATGATGACATAATACGCGTCTGCGTGTCACTGTCTTCATTGCAGTTTTTAAGTTGAAAAGTTTGTTCGCTCTGGTTAAATTTTTAGAAAAATTAAAGAATCTCTCATTCTCTTGCGCATTCTCTAGCGTCATATATATATATATATATATATATATATATATATATATATATATATATATATATATCGATTCTTCACTCGTTAAGGAAAAATACGTATTTCTCGAAAATCGTTTTTACATTATATTACATTACGGGACGCTTTGATACAGTCTCGGGAATTTTTAGCGAATTCTCGATCATGAGCTTCTACTACATTCGAGTAGTTCTCGCGATCGCGAGGAGAAACAGGTTCTCACTCATGTATATCGTTTCCTGTCATACCAAAGCTGCGGATGAAATCGAATTCTCTCAGTAAGGATAAATATTAGGGGGACCGGAAAGTAATGTCGCTTTCTTAAGTTAAATTCACACGACTACATTTTTAACAAGTTTTTATTTCTAATCAACAATATATTCACCTTCGTTATCAACAACCTTTTGCCATCTAGTATACAAATTTTCAATGCCGGAGCGGTAAAAATCAATCAAATCAAATATCGACATGCGCAGAAACGACATTACTTTCCGGTCCCCCTAATAGATCCCGATAAAATTGGATATCTAATCGTTCTCAGATCTAATCATTGTCAATCAGAACTTGCACAATGATGATATGTATGGGGAGTTTGTGATGACGAAATTCGGTAGTTCGCTGCGTGAACTTACGAAAACGCTAAACGATTCCGTTAATTTTTCAGATGAACGTTTCGCAAGGTGTTCACGCGCACATGGCTCACAACGTGGACCATGGAAGCACGAATCACGGAAGCATGGATCACGGGAGTATGAACCATGGTAGTATGGATCACGGCGCAATGAACCACGGAGACATGGACCATGGGAGTATGAACCATGCAAATATGGACCACGGGAGTCATGGCAGTATGCATCAGGTGGCCTCTTCGATGAACAATGCATGCGGCGACTCGAGCATGCATGGACATGGTATGTCGGTACGTATGATCAGGACGTCGAATACTCGGTACTGTTAACACATTCGTTTCTATTCGCGCATCCAGATGACTTTCCACACCGGTTTCTGTGAGTCGGTGCTGTTCAGCAACTGGAAGATCACGTCGGTCGGCGGCCTCGTGGGCTCGATGATCGGTATCATAATCTTAGCAGCTCTCTACGAAGGCCTCAAGTATTATCGAGAGTATCTGTTGTGGAAAGAGTACAACTCTCTGCAGTACAGGAGTGTCACGGTGCCTAACGAGAAGAACGCGGTGGCCGAGGATAATCGAGTTGTCCAGTGAGTTTCGCTCTTGACGACGGATGATTCATCCGGCAAAGAACGTTGCTTTTCGCGGTTTCCGCTCGCATGAGAATGTTCTCGCGCGAAGGTGTTACTTTTTATGAGATTACTCGAGCAGCACAAAAACACGGGCTTTATATTGGGCCTACGTCGATTGCCCAATGCTCAGATGTTGGTTAGACGTTCCGAAATAACAATGGATCAAGAAAGACAGAAAGAGAGAGAGAGAGAGAGAGAGATGTTGGCGGCGTCACACTGGTTTACCGACGGCCAACGGTTGGTCAGATGTTGGATTTTGCATTTAGCCGACATTATACCAACAAATGAAAAATAAATTACTGTGTGATTACAGAATACTGTTTGCAGCAAAATTATGTTGAATTGTGTTGAAAGAAATGAAATGAAATAAACTAATGTTAGATTATCTTTTTCGGATAACAAAAATCTGCTATTTCATTTTTTGCATCTTTTAATCTCCTGCAAGTGTCTCTCTGTAGTTTCGATGACTTCAATGACTACGTTTACAACAGCAACATTAATCTGGTTTAGTAACAACCATAGTTAAAGAGCTTTTGTATTTAATTTGAGTATTTTTTAAATCTAAAAAAATATATCAATCGGATGCAAGAGTTCATTAACTACGATTGAAATGGATTGAACGTTGTATAAACAAAGTCAAAATATCCTGCTTGTGTATAGAATTATCGTTAATCGTCCTTTAAAACTGAAAGCAACGCTTCTATTGCGGAATCACCGAAATACGTATAATCGATACATGTGGGTAGATCATAAATCTAATCGTTAAATTACTTTTTTTAGTATGGTTGGGGAAGTAATCCATAAGCAACCGTAAGTAACAAGAACCTCATGAAGCATTGATATCCTCTTTTCGAATTGGGCTTTCTCTGCTAACGCTTCAATTGATTAACCCAGTAAACACCGAGCATTATTTACATTACATTCATGTTATAATTTCTCACTCATCACTGTAAATGCAATATGACACATGTGTTACATTGAATTTACATTATTGAGCGAGAAATTATAATAGTGATGCAAGTGATGCTTGGTATTTATTGGGTAAGAAAGGGAGGAAGAAAGAGTTTGGTCATTGATGGATGTTAGACGCACGATAATTTTAATTTCTAAATCTCTTAGCGAGAGAAAAAGAGGATAAAATTGTCCAACAATATGCCGACTTATAGACATTTTTAGAAATCTCTAACTGAGGCAACACCCCAGTAAACACCAGTAAACTATCAGTAACGTAACATCAATATAATAATTACTCACTTAATAATATAACCGTTACATAACACACGTATTATAATGTATTTATATTGTTAAATTGGGAAATCATAACATTGATGTTATGTTACTATTAGTTGGTGTTTACTAAGACTTATAATAAAAATTTCTACAAATTCTGGGGAGATATTTAGAGGATATTAATTAGTATAAATATTAATTGTAAGTTGAGAGAATCGATTCAACATGGAAAGATGATTATTATACGGTAGCATATGCATGTTGAATGTCTGGAAAAAGAGTTCGGCGTATGCATAATGTCCATATTTCATTAATGATTGGTGATTGCGTTTTCGCCAACGATTGTTTCTTGATCAATCAGAAAGGAAATACTGGCGATTTGATTGATCAAGAGACAATCGTAGACGTAAATGCAGATGTAATCGCCAATCGATAGTGTGATACGAGCTTTACACTGACTACGTTTACACAACAACGCTATTCCTGTTTCGAAACAATCGTTGTTGAGCTCTTGCATCCGATTAGTATATTCTTTTAGATAAATATACTCTAATTAAATGCAAGAGCTCATTAACTATGGTTGTTATTATAAACAGAATTTAACGTTACCGTATAATGACTTAATTTTATCTTCTTATTAAGGTTTAGAAGTGATCGCACGTCCAATATCCAGCGTTAGCCAAATCTCTTTCTTTCTCTCTTTCTTTCTTTCTTTCTTTCTTTCTTTCTTATTGGTTGTTTTGATCTTACTGGTTGTTTATCTTCAGAGTTTAATTTTTTTGCTTCGATTATTAATCCAAATAGCCAAACTTACAAAAGCAGATTTTGCACAGCGTCTGCTGCAGACTCTGTAAGCAGTTTGCTGGCAGAAATACAACAGGATCTGATGACAGAGTATGATAACAGACTAACGGTAGAAACCGAATAGGATCTGTCATTCCAATGTATTTAAATGGAACATATTGCAGATCGTGCTCGTTTCTGCAGCCAATTTGTTATCAGATTCTGTCAGCAGGCTCTGTCGACAGAACAGTAGCAGATTGCGATACAGATGATCGATGGCTCCTGTTCGATCTGTTGTCAGACTGCTAACAAATTACTAACTGGAAATTGGCAAAAATATATCTTGTAAATAGCAGTAATCATAACAACGTTCGTGAACGTTGTCAAAGGATTTTTATATCATTAATGTTTGCATGTGTCACGCATGTTACATGCAATATACTATTATACGCCAACTATCTTCAGTATAAAACTTTACTCTATGTATTAGATTCCTTTGATTTATATCATTCGTGTAATAATTTTAATATTAATTTTAAAACTGCATGTGAAGATACTCTGCTTCTTGCTTTGGTATCAATTATTTGATATCAATATATTATTATACAAAGTTACAGTTTATTGGGAACAGCGCGCAAAAATGTACAAAGTGAATTCCGTAATCTCTTCCACTTAAAGTCGGACGCAGTAAAAAAATAATTATATTGTTCTGTGCAGGCCGACCATGCTGTCATGGATGCATTCGTTTCAAACACTTTTGCACCTCGTGCAGATGGTCCTGTCTTACTTCTTGATGTTGATCTTCATGACGTACAACGTTTGGCTGTGCTGCGCCGTGGTGTTGGGTGCCGCCATCGGCTACTTCCTATTCGGATGGAAAAAGTCCGTAATCGTGGACGTTACTGAACACTGCCATTAGCATTTAGTAAATTACTCCAACCGGGTATTTCGTGTCAACTGCAATCGTCCAAGATTGCAACGCGTTCTCGCGTTCCGCGTACGAAGTGAGAATGTTTAAAGAATTGGCCTTTTTAAAATTCACGGCACTCTACAGCACGTAGCGACAAAAGAAAAGCAAGAAATATTCCTAGATTAAGTTTAAGACTTACTGTTCATTGTCTCGAGCAGTGCTGCGAAATGGGTAATTCAAGCCTTCACCATTTGACAAACAACGGTACACCTACCACACACATGATAAATCCGTGTAGTTAAACGAGATTCGCGCGGCTTTGGAAAATGAAGTGAGCTGAGTCGACCGGGCGGTATATATATGTATATATGTATACACATACATATATATATATATATATATATGTCTAAGGATTACACAGATATTGTTATGCATATGATAGTGCCGTCACTTGTCAAGTAGTGGAGGCTCGAATTACCCACGATTTCGCGGTACTGGTCTTGAGAAAGACTTTCGGTACCTTAATTTTAGTTATCAAACATTCTCGAATATTTTTATCGCGCGAAACTCTATACGTAAGCAGATGAGTTTCTGTCGAAAATAATTATATCTCGCTGTTATTATGAAGGTATAACACGAGGTAACTTCGCAAAGTCTCAGCTTCCACCCATACTTGAATCTATACAACTGTAGTATGTCTGAACTTGTAAATATTGTTAAGATATCATGTAAGAAATGTGTCGTCGAATGGGTGCACACACTTTTCCCAATTTTATATCATTTTTATTGTTCATTATATAACTTTATTCTATTTTTTAAGGACGCTCACATTTATCAGTAATTTCTTAATGCTTGGGAAAAAGTGTGCCACATTGTATCTTAAACAAACCCATGTAAAAACATATTATTATAATATACTGTTACAAGTTAAAGTATTATTATTACATGTTGTCGTGTAAATGATTGTTACGTGTAAAATATCGCGAAATATAGCTTTACCAAAACATCAGAAAACGGTAAAGAAATTCAACAGATCGAGAAAGTATTACAATTGCGATTCAGATAATTTCCTCTTTAGACCCTTGCCTCATTTTCGTAATTATCGACAGATCTCTTATTGATATTTGTACGTTATGCTTGCTCGACGAACAGTGAGCAGAAGAGTTCCTTAAGAAAGACGGATAACCGTGGCAAAAATCGATTTATATAGGAATACAGACGTCTTTTAAACAAGCATAGTGTAAGTTTATTTTTCCTTGCAAAATCGCGATCCCCGGAATTATAAAATCTTAAGGCATACACACATATTATATAGGTCATACGAGAAATAGGTATAGGTACATTTGGTCGCAGAAGGGTTGCGACACTCGTCTCTTCGATGAGAATCGATTGAATCGCAAGAACGACCAATTTCCCAAAACTCGCCGAAGCAAAAGGCGTCACAATCTTTTCGCAAACGAATATACGCTAAGTATATGTAAAAATAATAAATAACGATCGGCACACATCTCTTCTTTTTCTTTGTCACACAAATAAGACACGTATATACTGTGTGCATCAGTATTTAAAAAATAATTCATAGAGATCTCGCGTATAGACTTATTCGTAAGAGTGATGCCAACGTTGCGGTAGTTACGAGGTGAATTCGCCACCTTGATATGATTAGTCTTACAGCACTTAACATCCTTAACCAACACGTTATCGCTCTATCGTTCCACTATAAATTTATATGCTCCACATGTAGCTATATAAAAAGCACCAGCATGCACGTTTCATACACGATTAATCCGAGTCTTGCCGTCGCGACATTAACTTCCGCTTCATTGCAACGGCATTGTATGTACGGTTTTGCTTGTCATATACAAAGCGTTCCTCCAGAAATCTGGTGTATTTTTTTTTCCGGGCGATACACCGCGACTGTAGGAACGCGCCGTACACCAACGGTAATCATACAAAAAGCTCTCACTGCCGGTAACGTTATTAATTTTGTAGGAAAAATCGTTAGACATCGACTGCGGAATATTCCAAGAGCAGGAAAGCGTATTTCATACTTTGTACAAGCATCAAATTCATATATAAATACCGAGTATATATACGTGAGCGAGATTTTTTCGTCTAAATAAGTCGTGTCGCTTCACTGCTCTCAGACGCTATGCCGCGATAATAAGGCAAATTTAGATTACAAAGCTAGAATTACAAATTTATGTCTATCTCTTATGTAGTAAAGCAATTCACGATTATTATTATTATTATTATTATTATTATTATTATTATTATCCTATCACAAGCCGATGTTGTGTGAAACAATACTTAAAATACTGTCGTCCGAGAGCTGCACAAAGCGTGAATAGGACGTTCAATCTGACTTTACATCTTAGAGCTGTATTCTGGAAATATTCACCGCGATACGTTATTTGTCTCATACACGACCTCTGTGGCGTTCGTACTCGAGTACTTCGATATAAGATTCATTGAGGATAAAGCTGAGCCACGCAGCAAGGTACACTCATTCTTCTCTAATGATTTCTCTACAAACATAGTCCGTACGATCTTTCAAGTCTCAGCCGGTCTCTTGAATGGTAAAATTGAATTATTATCCACTTTTATACAACCGACGCAATTCCAGCGTGAACAAACATGTTCACCGTACACAACGTAGAGAGAAAGAGAGAGAGAGAGAGAATTTTGTAGACAGGCAAGAGATTCTCTTCAAATTACTTTGTTAGACCTAGAAAAGAAAGTATGCCTATTGTGAGAAGTTGCCTCAAGTGCAGTTGGTAAGAATGGCTAAGTCGGAAAACTGAGGAACAAATGTTATATTTACCTACTCGAAACTTTTTACGCAAGCCCGCTCAAACTCTCTATGGACTATAAATCACTTTTACGTATCTTTCTGTAATTGTGCAAAGAAATGATGCGTAGGCCAAACAAAGAAAAAATAATCTCTTACGCTTATATTGCATATAGAGTATCCTTATAGTTCCTAATTAGAATAAACACCTATGGGCTCAATGTGCGGTGTGACTTGTGCTTCTTCCAAACATAAAGAAACTTTAAACGACCGTTTCCACCAGCGTTGCTTCGCACACGTAAAGTTCGCATATCGTGCTTATCCTCTTACCGCTCGATTGCAATTATCTGGTCACGAAGGTGGATCTTGAGAAGAATTTATATCATGCATTACCTCCGTCGGAACATAAAAGGAAAAATTGTCAGAATTACAAGCTGCGACCTACTCAGCACCCGACACGGGCATGCAGCAGCTCGAACGATGCGGGGATTGCTGCTTAGAGAGATCGACGGTATCTTCCACCAAAGGCCGCTCTAATCTAGCTTCCAGTCGCGCCCATGCGGCGACAGCTGCCCCGAATGCTGCCTCAACATTAGTGGCGTCTTTCGCCGATGTCTCGACTAATGGAGGACCGCCGTTCTCCAAGCACCAGGCTTGTGCATCTTCCGTGGAAACCTGCTTCTCCGACTCGGGGACGTCCACCTATATGGAAATCATATCATACTGTTATATACACAATATTATGTTTACATATAAAATATTATTACATCATAAGTATATACTGTATTATTAGTAAGACGCTGTTACACACACAAACACACAGATACACCAATTTTTTATCTATTGGGCTGCATTCTAAAATCTTATTTGATAGGTAGAGTAACATTTAATTAACCAATCGGGAGAGAAAGAGTAGAGATTTCTTTATCACGATTGAATAATTAATGCTATTCTACTCATCAAGTAGGATCTTGGAATGCAGCCTTGAATGATTAAAATATTGGTTTTTTAGCAAATTAGCATTAAGATACCGAGTAGCTCACAAACCTTATTGCCTATAACGATAAAAGGAAATGTGGAAGCTTCTCGAACATCCGCATACTTAAGAAACTCGGATCTCCACAGTGTCAAATTTTTAAAACTCGTCCGATCATCTACCGCATAGGTGAGCAAACAGATGTCTGAGCCTCTGTAGAATGGGGTTCTGAGAGTTTTGAATCTCTCCTGTCCAGCAGTGTCCCATATTTGTAACGTGTAAGCTTCGCCATTGATTTCAATATCTTTATTCAGGAATTCCACACCTATAGTATGAAAGCTGTGCTCATCGAAGTGATTCGACACAAATCTGTTCATGAGGCAGGACTTGCCGACACCGCCGTCCCCGAGAATCACCACTTTCAGCAGAGTGGTCCTCTGCGAGTTTCGGTTTTGCAGATTACTACCTTTAGGTGTACCCATTGCTGCGGACATTTTTTTTGTTTTTCAAACTTCCTTTTTTCCTCGCGATAAACAATCTCGTATAACACACACAATCTGCACGTTGTGAAACGGAGTCTCAGAGCTTGGTAGGTACTCTTGACATGTAAGTAAATATTTGTTTTCGTTAAGGCCTGATTATGAAATTCATAGCCTCTTTGTTGATCAGCTGACTTGCAGCAGGGGGACCTTGTACTTCAGTTTCGCTGATTCGACCGAACGTGGAGAAACAACGACGGTGCGTCACCGTTCATTATCCAGGAAGGCTGTCTCTCTTCCTCCCTCTTCCTCCCTCGCTTGGTATTAAAGCACCGGTACGTAAAGAATTCCTGACGCCTTTACTTCCCCTCGATTCCGCTGCATAACCCTACGACACGCTCGGCGAGATTGCTCATCGATCTCGCGGTGGGTCTCGAATCTCGAAGCTGCAACGACGAGGAAGCCTGTTCCCGCGATATCCGCTCGCCCGTCCACCTTTTTCTCCTGGATTTTAATTCAATTATCGAACTCAAAGTCCGGTACGCGCGTGAGACGTTTTTTGTGATCGCGGCACTCTCACGAAGCGGCGGCGAATGAAGACGATGCGGTACGTTTGTCAGCATGGACCGCGCTCGCGCGTTTCCAACGACCTTTCGTCGACCGGCGAATCAAGCTGTATCAACGTCGGCTTTGATCTCCCGCTGCTTTACTTCATCTACGACCGACCCGTTCGACGGCGTTTGACACATTGCAGACGACAAAAGGAACGCCCATGTTGGGGCCGAGCAAAAGCGGCCCTCGCGAACATGGCTACCTGCGATTATAAATAATATCAGCCGCCGTTCGCGGATCATGGATTTAGGAAAATATATATATGAATATATATATATATATATATATATATATAGAACATACCGCCAATCTTGAGGTAAAGGGAGCGTGTTGAAAGGTAGGGAATATTTTTCGTGATTTTATTCAACCTTTGAATTTGATTCAACTCAACGCAAGTTGAGGTTCTCTCAAATCCGAGACTTCGGACTTGAGAGTTTCTGAACTGAAATCTCCGATTTTACAATAAGATCTTTAGGCCTGAAACAAGTAAAACTGACGTTACCGAGATCACTGTGCAAGAAAATCACCAGAGCCATCTGATCCATCGTAAGGTTAGGTGAGAGCAGGTTAGACTAGGTCAAGCTGCTGCACAAGTTAGGTTTCGCCCAGTGGCACATGAGGAACGTCCTTCGGAAATTAGTGCACAACGAATCGCGTTTGATGGGCCGATGGTCGTATAACCGTTGAGTGAAAATTATCCATAGTTAGACTGCGTTCGGTAATTCCATTGTTGCAAATTAATACCGTTTTCTCTTCTCGATTCGACTTGGTGTTTCTACGAATGTGTTTCAAAACGTGTCAACAGGTCGAATACGTATAACTTAAGTAACAATGAATTATAGTACTGTGAGAAAGCGCATTTCAGAACACATTTAAAGTGACACCGAGTCGGATCGAGTGAAATAAATCGAAAACCCCCGCCGAATGTACCAAGTTACTCGAATCCACTCTGAAATTTCAGGGCGAAGAATCTTTCTCCCGGGAAGCATCCGACCGGGTCACCAGCATAGCTTAACGTGGACAGACGGGGGAGATAACTTCTGTGCGGCCACCAGGAAGTTACCGATAAAACAAGGCTCGACGTGTATTGAGTCGTGCAGCACTGTTCGATAAAAATCGCTTTCTGAGAGAACAGAGGTCACACGGAGATGGCGAATCCTTCATCGATGAACACGGGCGAAGGGTACTATTGGAATTCCGAGGCGACTCAGCAGAACATGGGGTACTTCCCGGTGCCGAACTATCCACCGCCCAATTACAATCCACCCTCGAACTACGGTTCCTCTTGCCCTTACAATGTGCCACCTCCTAATGTGCCCGAAGCTAATCCATCGAATTCAATGTATCACTTGGCACCTCCGCCTGTGTATCACAATAACTCCAGCAATATACACAATATCTCTTACCAGAGTCAAGTGAACCAACAGTGTAGTATGTATCCTAAAGGACCGAACCTTCCGCAACAATCTGTCGGTGGGAACTATAGTATGAATTGGAATACAAGTACCAGGAGTGTGTATAACGAAAGCCAGACTTGTAACGAATGGTCTTTCAATAATTCTACCGCCAATTGGACGACGTATCAAAGTACACCCACTTCGTGGTATGGTGCGAATAAGACGTGTGCCAATAACCAGCTATACGTAAGGCAACAGTATGAACCTCAGCAAGGTATGAAGAAGTCCGAATGGAAGTACGACAGTAAGGAGCATCTGTCAGGTTCCACGAGTAGCAAACGCAGGTCCAGGAGTCCAAGCAGCAGTGGGAGATCGGAAAAGTCATATAGATCACGACATGAGGATCACAAGGACAAATATCAGTATGACAAAAGAAGATCCAGTTCAAAGGAATATAAATATGAAGGCAGGGATTTTGAGAGGAGATCTTCGTATAAAAGGCACGACAGTCATGCATCTCGTTCGGAGGCACCGTACACAAGCAGTAAATACAGGAAGAGGTCGAGATCACAGGAATCTCAATCAGGGAACAGGGAGTCTTATGCGAGCAATTCTACTAAACGAAAATGTCCCACCGAGAGGGAGCTACTTTTAGAGAAATATAGGTAATATATATATAGATAATATATATGCATATATATTTATTACTTCAGTTTATGTTCCAAGAAGGGATGGTTTACAATTCTTTTTTTTAACCACACTCATTCATTTATACCTTATACACTGAGGCGTGTTGAAAGATGTATCAGATTAGGCTGAAATTTCGTAAACAGAGGGACTGAAGAATCAAGACCGAGTGATTCGGCTTCATTAGCAAAACAACTCTTCCAACCAATCATTTATCATTAGGTCTGCTCGTTTTTGCTGCACCGCACTGAACTAGTGCAATAAGTTGAAGTGAGAAAACACATACTTGTCTCGCTTCAACTTATTGCACTAGTTCAGCGGTGCAGCGAAAACGAACAGACCTATTATAATTATTTATTATTCATTCGCTTCCTTCATATTTCCGCATCTCAATCTTACTCAAGCCTTAACTCCGTCTCCCATCGAACTTTTCCAAGTTTTCTTACATATCTGGGCCCATCACCTTCTATATCAATCCCTTTATATCTTTATATACCTCGTAGTTGAGAAATCTAGACGATGTTTATATAAAATACATTTTGCGATAGGCGTAATTATTGCGCGACGAGCAAGGACATCGAGCGAAAACTAGGTGAATTGTCGGCGATGGGTTCGGAAGGTATACTTGAAAGCGAAAGGAAAATCTGGACGCGCACAGCCCCGGCAGATCTCTATTACAGCCGAGATGAAAAAGATCCGAAAGTAATGAGAAGTACTTCTAAGCTACTAGAGTTGTGCGCAACGTTCAAGAGACTGTTGATTGATAGAGCAGCCGAGGCAAGATCTAAGCAGGTACGTTCACTCTTACAATTTGTTTTAACGATATGCACATGGAAAGTGAAAAATATTACATTCTACTGCAAAGCCACCGTATAAGCCGCCTCCGAGGAAGACCAGGGCTCGCCTTTGCCGCCATAAATCCGAGGCTTGCAGTAGCTCTTCCGACAGTGACAGTGACAGCAACAGTGACAGTTCTATGGATGAGGATGATAGAACGATGGAGGAATTAATGGCGAAGAAACAGCACCCGCAGAGATTGCACCCCGAAATGTGGTTCAACGATCCCGGAGAGGTAACCATCGAGGATGCATCGAACTGCTTCGCGGAATTCTCTTCCGCTTATCTTAAGAATTTAGAGACATTCCCGTATTTCCCTCCTCGTTTCTAGATGAACGATGGCCCATTGTGTAGATGCAGCGCGAAATCACGTCGGTCCGGTATAAGGCACGGCATTTACGCCGGAGAGGGCGTGATAAACAAGTGCGAGCTAAGTTCGAATAACGCGGACAAATTGCATCACTATAGAATAACGATCAGCCCGCCGACGAATTTTCTCACCAAGACACCGACGATCATCAAGCACGACGAGCACGAGTTTATATTCGAGGGCTTCTCCATGCTCTCTCACTTCCCGCTCGTCAAGTTGCCTACGTGCAAAGTGATCCGCTTCAACATAGAATACACGATTCTCTACATAGAGGAGAAGTTGCCGGAGAACTTCACGATACAGGAGCTCGATTATTTCCGTTAGTGGCCTTCGTTTTACCCGATAAACAATATTTCTCTTCGTTCCACTCGTTCTGCTGTTATAACGTTTCGTATTTCTTCAGAGACGTATCTGTTCAAGGAGATCTTGGAGCTTGTAGATTTCGACCTGCAGGCGGCGCAGGACAAGTCCGGCTGCGGGCAGTTTCACTTCATGCCAAGATTCGTGCGCGATCTCACCGATAACGGTCAAGAGATCTTGTCGATGAACGAGGTTCTTAATTATCTGATCAAGAGCAGCACTCTCCTGATAGATCCAGATGACATGCCTAGATTGGTAGACATGCCGCAGTACAAGTGGCAAGATTTCGCGGACGAGGTGAAGGGAATGGTGGTCACTTATCCTGGCAAAAAGCCGTGCAGCGTTCGTGTCGACCAGCTGGACAGGAGTCAGGTGGACCAACCGCCCGGTATCGTCGCCTATCCTGAGATAGTGCACTTCGGTATTCGACCACCGCAGCTTAGCTACGCAGGAAACGCGGAGTAAGTGTCAACAGGAGGTATATAAGTGTGGTTAAATGTGTGCATATGTGCATGTATTTCGAGTGTTATTACCAATTATGAACTTGACATCGCTGTATTTTCAAAACAAAACAGTCGATAATTCTGAAACTTGCGTATAATATTTACGTATTAGTCTCTAATACCATAGCTGTTTCTCGTCAATCAATCTTATTTTTAGTTTAGAAGATACTAAAAATAGAAATAAAAAATAGCACGTTAATCTCAAGGAACGCATACAAAAAGTGTCAACTTTAGTTGCAAATATTTCAGCTCTTGAACAATCAATCTTCTTCTAATTGCACGAGCAGCTGGATAAGATTTAAATATTCTATATATGTGTGTGTGTGTGTGTGTGTGTGTGTGTGTGTGTAGTGCAAATTTCCTCGAAGTTTGATTGAACTCACGTCGCCTTACAACCTCCATTAACAATTAACGCCGTTAATTCGACGTACTTGTTCTCCAGTTACCAGAAAGCCTGGAGAGACTACGTGAAGTTCCGGCACCTGCTCGCGAACATGTCGAAGCCGTCCTTCGAGGACAAGAGAAAGCTGGAGGCGAAGGAGAATAAACTGCAGGAGTTGCGCACGCAGAGCAAGATGAAGCGCGACGTCACGGTCGACGTCAGCTCCGAGGGGTTCTATCGCACCGGCATTATGTGCGACATCGTGCAGCACGCGATGTTGATCCCGGTGCTGGTGTGTCACCTGCGGTTCCACAAGTCCTTGGACAACCTGGAGCGCACGTTGGGATACGAGTTCAAGAACAGATACTTGCTTCAACTGGCCCTCACGCACCCCAGCTACCGCGAGAACTTCGGCACGAATCCGGATCACGCGCGGAACTCCCTGACGAACTGCGGCATCAGGCAGCCCGAGTACGGCGACCGCAGGATACACTATATGAACACGCGGAAGCGCGGCATCAACACCCTGATCAACATAATGTCGCGTTTCGGCGCGAGAACCGAGACGGAGTCGTCGATAGCGCACAACGAGCGGCTGGAATTCTTGGGCGACGCGGTCGTCGAGTTCCTCACCTCCATCCACTTGTTCCATATGTTCCCGGACCTGGAGGAGGGCGGCTTGGCCACCTACCGGGCGGCGATCGTGCAGAACCAGCACCTCGCCGTGCTGGCGAAGAAGCTGAACCTCGAGGAGTACATGCTGTATGCCCACGGCAGCGATCTCTGCCACGACCTGGAGCTGCGGCACGCCATGGCAAACTGCTTCGAGGCGTTAATGGGCTCCTTGTTCCTGGACGGGGGTATAGAAGTGGCCGACCGGGTCTTCGGTGAGACGCTATTCAAGGACGAAGAGAATCTCTGCCAAGTCTGGGTCAATTACCCGCGGCACCCTCTGCAGGAGCAGGAGCCGATGGGGGACAGACAATGGATCCCCAGCTTCGAGTTGCTGCAGGTACGTCGCTGCTCGTATTCAGGTCTTCAGCCTCGGTATCATCAAGCTCGTTCATTTATCTCAGGCCTGCGGACAGTTTGTACTATTTCAGAGATTCCGCCGATTGCCATCCCCACGTTTCACAGCACGGCTGCTCTCGGAAACGTAAGACTCTCAATCTCAGGGATGGTATTAGCTAAAAGTGGAGTTTTGGTGAACGTTGCCCTGCGCACTATCCACTATTTAAAGAAGTATTATTACTATTATTATTATTATTATTATTATTATTATTATCGATATATATTATAAAATTAATAATATTCTAAACAACATGCGGGGCAACACTCGCCAAATTTTCATATCATTTCTAGTTAATACTATTCCTGAGTTTGAGCGGCTTGCGTCTCCGAGAGGAGCCTAGATATTATAAAACAAGAGAAGTAGGAATAGCAGTCGGCGGGATTCCTGAAATAGTGCAAACTGTCCGTCGGCCTGGTTTGCCTGGTCTCATATTGGCTACGTTTACACTCAGCAACCTAATCGCAGTCTGACCTATACCGTGATCCAAAATAGATCTAGTCAGCAACCGTTTATATCAAAAGAGACCTAAGAATTGATGGGGTCCTATTTAGTCCACGCTAGTCTGGCTTATTTAGTCATCTATCGTGGTCCGTACAAGTCACTTCCGTATACACCACATTATACTCATCGTATGAACTTTTTGAGCTAACTTGAAAAGTCTAACAAGAGAAATTTCCCAACGCGCTGTTCAGTCATCAAGCAGAAATGCATAACCTGACGCTCAGCGAAACAATAGCGAATTCTACCGATTACATAAATAAGTTTTTACGCCGCGTCGCGTATTTATACCGAAAAAGCGGACGCTTCATTTTAGGCCAGATCACTGAAATACGAAGTCTGACCTGATGCCAGGTCAAGTCATCTACCAAGTGTTTACAGCAAACGGCCTGAGTAATTTTGAAAAAAAAAGGTCAAATTGAGGTATAGGTGATGGCCTAAACGCAGGGTGTAAAAATGATAATTGTCTCTAATATTTCCAGAAACTGACCAAATTCGAGGAATCGATCGGAGTCAAATTCACTCATATCCGCCTGCTGGCCAGAGCGTTTACGGATCGCAGCATAGGATTCACCAATTTAACATTAGGCTCGAATCAACGACTGGAGTTTTTGGGGGACACCGTGTTGCAGCTCATCGTCTCGGAATATCTGTACAAATTTTTCCCCGAACATCACGAGGGGCATTTGTCGGTAAAATGGATTATAGGTTGATCTTATAGAGCTTATATGGGTTGACCTTCGAATCATCCTCGCGAGTTTAACGCTTCCTCGTGCCTGTTGCAGTTGTTACGGAGCTCTCTTGTGAACAATAAAACGCAAGCGGTGGTCTGTGACGACTTGGGTATGACGCAGTACGCACTGTACGGGAACCCGAAGGCCGAGCTGAAGACGAAGGACAGGGCGGATCTGTTGGAGGCTTTCCTCGGCGCGCTTTACGTCGACAAGGGTTTAAAGTACTGCCATGTCTTTTGCAACGTGTGCTTCTTTCCCCGTCTGCAAGACTTTATCATGAATCAAGATTGGAACGATCCAAAAAGCAAGTTGCAACAGTGTTGTTTAACTTTGAGAACTATGGACGGCGGTGAGCCGGATATTCCGGTGTACAAGTGAGTATTTAAAGCTTCCTCCTTTCCTCGTTTATCTTGCTTAATGATGTCAGAAGCGAGGAAATGTATGCCCAAATTTCTTGTGGAATACAACGTTAAAACAGACATACGCTCATGAAGTAATACTTGTGGTCGATTGAGCCCGTTTGTAAGATATTCTTAAAACTCCGGCTTATACAATCGACAAATAACTAACGTAGTTTAAAAGTAGGTTATACGTGTAACGCTAATTTTATAACTATTGATGGTTAAAGTAAAAGGGGAGGGGAAGTTTTCGATATGTTTTAGAAATTTGCTCTATCAATCAATAGTCGTTTTATGTGAACGTATGTTTTTATTATTTCAATGTATTTCACATAAAAAATTTTGCTCATTTTTGACGCCATCAATCAAGATGATCGCGGGACCAATGAGCCTGTGACTCGGCAAATTAACGAATGCGTTACGCGTCGTCGCGTAAATATAACATATCACATAATGTGACACATAATGTCAACAATAACATATAACACAGCTGTACGATATTCAACGTTAACGATATTGGCATTAAAAGTTGCAGAATAAGCACACGTAAATTTTAGTAAAAAGGCATTTATATAATCTTTATAAATCCTGACGTTTGATCTCATTCTTGATCTAATTTCTTTCTTTTTTCTTTCTCAGAGTCATCGAATGTAAAGGACCGACCAATACGAGAGTTTATACAGTTGCTGTATATTTTCAAGGAAAACGATTGGCTAAGGCCTCGGGGCATAGTATTCAAGAAGCGGAAATGAACTCCGCCAAAGAAGCTTTAGAAAAATCTCAAGGTATTCAAAATAATTTAATAACAACGTATCGTATACGAGAGCAATAATAATTGTGTGACTTAATTATTGTATATTGATTGTAAATCAAATTCTTTCATCTATCAAGCTTATTTGGCAAATTTCAGACTTGTTTCCGCAATTGGATCACCAGAAACGTGTGATAGCGAAAAGTATGAAGATGCAACAATGGAATAAGCAGAAACCAAAAGGAAGACTCACAAAATTGAATGACAAATCTGACGATTCTGACTCTAGTCAAAGTCGAAGAAGTTGTAGCAAAGAACGTAACGCTTCTAAGAAGCGAGAGACCTAATTGATATTTTAACATTATGCCAAATTGTTACCTTACATCATTTGTTATCTCACATCAATTGACATCAGACAATCGCGTTCGCGATCAGTATCAAATAGGAATTGTGATTTTAAGTTAAATATTATCTTTTTTATATCATTGTGTATACATGCACAGATTTCTGGTTCTTTTTGTTAATAACGTATCCAAGTAGTTGTAACGTCTTGACAGTTTGATGTTCGTATTGATTACATGTAACATAAGAATAATCCTTCTTACGAATACAAAAGGAACTTCAAGATGTCACAGCTGTTCAAATCTCAGATCTTTCTATATAATACATTAGACTGCGTGCTGCTGCTTATCAGACGTACCCTTGATGTACATAACCTGTACATTAGAGCGCATGCGCGAAGTAAAAACACCAAGATTGCGACTATAATGCTAGTACTTGAACAGTTATACATTATAAAATACTTAAAGAAAGATACTTCATAACGGAGATACATCAGATACTAAAGAAAAGATACTTCTTTACGGTTTGTACTTCGATGTTTATACTTTTTCATCACGTACTTCAACGGCATTTTCATTTAAAAGCAGTTTACAAAAGGCATTGTAATATTAACTGCATATTAAATCCAATTAGAAAAGAGAGATGTTTAGTAAAATGATTTCTAATTGGTAAATAAAGCCATCATCTACATACGGGTGACTAAACACCTACGAAAATTCACGCATCCTTCAAATATGAATGACCTGGCACTCAAGTGTGATGTATGTGATTATTTTATACAGTAGTGTATATTTACATCTTTAAGGTAATTTCAGTCAACTATTCGTTCCTCCAATATCGGATTGTTTTGTTTCAATAATTGTTTGTTTTTTCTAAGTATATAATGGCATTGCTCAATGTTATCTAAAATATTTTCCACAGTCCAATGTTTCTTCAATAGAGCCAGATTCAAATCGAACAAGGCGTATCGGAAACATTGTATTTGAGTGCATGTAGCAACACTGTGAAGTTGTATCCCCAAATTATGAATTATAGATTTTAAATACATGTCGTCCTCGTTTATGCTAACGACTTCTGAAAAGATACAAGCATCGTGAAAGGTACAAGCATTAATTGCAAGTTTACATCTCGTACGAATTATGACTCTTACCTAACGTAAATTCAGGAGGTGTGAAGTCTATGCATTTTATGCTATATATCATTGGGATTTTTCTGTCCGTGGGCCTCACTAGACCTCGCGCAGCCAACTCAAATGCAGCTTGACTTTGCATGTCAATCCCACTCAACCTAGCCACATAGAAGAGAACAAATATTAATTGTAAATTTCAGTGTTAAATAATGGTGAGTTATATATGGTAAGGTAACATACTCAAACATTGACTTTTGATGAGAAGCCTGCATGGCAGCACATAATTGATCAATTACTTTGCGCTTTACAAATTTATATACAGCCTTTTCGACAATCCTCCCAGTGTAAAAGTAATTATCTGTTGCTTGTCCCAACATGCCCTTAATTTTGTAACTACTTGGAAGTTGAGCAATACTCAATTGTTGGGCGTTATTGTTGCCATTATTAAGGCCAAATATCATAACCCCTGATATATCTTTGGCCAGGTAATTAGCACATGAGAGTTTAAAGTCCTTCACTTGATACCGTGGCCCTACTACTAATGTATGATCCGCATAACTCGGTCGGACAATTACTTGCATCTTTTCCGTTGTACTACCCTCTATGCTCACATGTTTAATCGGTGGACGTACATGCATATTGTTCAAGTCTGAAAGTCAAGCGCAGTTTTTGAAGAGAGTAGTCTTGCTGGCTTTCCAAAGAAAGTATAACAGAATTATTTCAACTATATTTGGAAGGAGTAGAAAGATTTAAATTAAACAAACTTTCGTGAGATAATGCTTACCTTCACAGAGACGAACAATTATGGTATCTCGTGTATTGAGGTACGTGACTTCCGCAGGTTTATAAACGGCGAATATACCGTTTAACGCTTTCCATGCTAATTTAGCATTGGAAGTAAAACGTGTCGTTTTTGGAATCAGAGAATTCATTCTTGCACCAGACATCTTGACAGAACTATTTCGTCGTTTACTCCCTGGTAAATCTATTACGTATTGTCTTAAATTCGTATTAATAATATTTGATCTAAATAACTCCAGATATCATCTCGTATACATTTAATCACATTTTCTTTCAATTTTATTTCACAATGATGAAATGCTTATTAAAACACAGTTCATGTGGTTAGTTTATTTTCTGCTCTGGTGCAACACTAAGTGTTCTATCTACAATAGGTGTTTTAAGCCTTAAGCTTTAAGAAATTGGCCAATCATAGTTAATGATTCTCTTCACATTCGACTATGATTGGTCAATTTCTTAAGGCTTAAAGCACCTGTTATAGACCAGGACTAACAAACTATAGGTTGGAAACTATAGATTCTGCTTTAGTGCAACAGCTGAGCTTAACTGAGCTCAAGTTTAATGAAATTTAGTGAACTTTGCACTGATTGGTTAAATTTCAATTCAATCTCAATCTCCAATCTGTAGTCTGATACGGGCTTTAAGGTCGTCTGGATCATTTTGAGAAAGAGAGAGAGAGAGAGAGCGGTGATAATAGTGTCGTATTCAAAACACGAGTATTATTCGTTGTTGTACGTTATAATACACTGTGGAGTTACGATAGTCGTGTAAGAATGTTCCCGACAAGTGCACGAATACCAGTGGCTCGTGTGTTGTGCATGCACAGAGAAATCCACAGCAACGCAGAGTTAATCAAAAACTGCAAGGAGGTCGTGAATCGAAACCCACGGAATTTGGAGCGGTTGAGAATAGCAAGAAAACCTATCGGATTCTCTCTCGAAAAAACGTATTACGCGTTTTGGCACAAGTAAGACAATCAAGTTTCTATGTCGCAGCTGTAAACACAACACAAATACAATGAATTATGTTACATATGTTCTATTGTTAAATAATATCGATTGTAATTTTGTGTGGCATCCAATTTGCAGGCTGGTCGTATTCAAGAAGCCTCGTCACATTACTGCAGAAATACATCATTTCGAGAATGGACCGGTTATTACAGTTTCTAGTGCAGAATGGGCATTGAAGAAGCAGTTATATCGGTACAGACTTGGTTATACCCATATATGTTATTATTATTTACAATTTGTATAATCTTGTGCATGTTACAAATGTTTTAGATGTACCGATGGTGCAGCTTATATTAACACAGGACGTATGTTAGCCCAACGCTGTTTGGAGTCTGGTATTTATGAGATGGAAGTTGATAAATCGTTAAGTGGAGAAAAATTTGACTTGCTGGTTAAGGAAATGGAGAATGGTGGGATTATTTTAAAAGAGCCACCAAGATATGTATATCCTAAGTTCTGGTGCAATAAACGTCCAGAAAAACCTTGGGAGATTCATGAGTAGTTTGTATTGCTTTTTATATACGATAGTGTAAATAAGAACAATGGAAGGACAAAGTGTGCATTTTATACACAGTATATATAGCATACAACTCTGATGGTATGGTTTCTTGCGAGAGCCAAATAAAATTGAACTCGGTGATCGGTGTATGGTGTTTTATTATTCCAGTATCTGTCCACTGTGAAATGCCGAGTTTTGTACATTACAATATCTAGGAGTAAAAATAAATAATTGTATCGCTATTAAATAAACATCTAGTATACTGGAAATACAATGCTAGCTGACTTACAAGTTATCTCATTATCCAAGGCAAGTACATTCCATCAAATACAATTCGTGATACAAGTGGAATGTCGTTAAGTGATTTACCGTAGTGACTATATAATAGAAAATTTAAATTACGTATATATATATATATATATGTGTACATATACAGGTTGATACGGAAATAATCCTGAAGATTTGGCGAATCTGCTGCGAAAGATTAAGAATGTAAGAGGGTATTAATTTATAATATATGAATACAACTTGTGCGCAAATTCTTACAAACTTGCTCAATTGTCAGAGGTATTCCTGTCTCAGCCTGTATATGTAAATTAAAAAAATAATTTCAGATCTCCTCGAGTCATCTGAAATCTTTTTTTTCTTTTATTACCGACATTTGCGATATATATATATATATATCGTTATATATATATATAACGATATATCACCTATATTGAGATACAATTGATACTTCAGCATTCTTAAGTATCAGTCCGATTCGCAACGTCGTTCGCTTTCACGCGCTGTTTTGCGGCTCGCTAGACTAAATTACTCGCAAATAAATAAAAATGCAATAAACGCCTGAAATAATTTACATCTATGGCTACGTCGTAAAGCGTTACTATTACGAGCTTAAAGTAACTTATCCGTGTATTACACAGCATAATCGCGCGAGTCGCTAATAAATATTCATCCATGTTAAGAAGAACCTGCTCGCGAAATACGGTTCCTGGAATAGCGTTCCTGGAAGTCGTTCGTTTTGACGCGTCACCGTTAAATCGTACGTAACCGAAAATCGTTAGCTCCCAGCTATCGTGACACGATTGTTGGTTCAACGCGATATTTTCGTAGAGAGCAGGGTGTGACTTCCATTCGCCTCAGGTTCAATTGGAAATCGCGTTAATTTAAAGCTACAATGTGCTCTTTGTTTCTTCCTCTCTATCTCTTTTTCTTAAGTAAATAGAAGTTTTTACAGAAGAAAGATAGAGAGCAAGAAACAAGACGCAAAGAGCACATTGTGGACCAAGCTTAACCATGAAACATTCGCCAGGCGCTTAATTTCTACGAGAGCATACAGTAGAAATCTTTTTCAGCCGCCTGAGATTCCTTCTTTCTTTTAAGTAGGCCGCAAATCATTCATGCTGCTGTCTTCGTGAAATCGAAATTCTGGAGACCTACGACCTACGAATCTTGATGTTTTGAAACTTAACGACGAGAACAAACCGACGTTCGACAGGATACAGACAAAGTATTCATATCGCATCAGAGATCCATGTACAGTAGATTCTGCATACAGTAGATTCGGCAGAAATGGAGATTTAATGATGTGTAATCGGAGTTCGTCTCGAGGATGGACAGTTATTAGAGATAATGCAGGACGTATCTTCGCGTGCATCCCAACAGAATGCAGACTGGCTGAGAGAGACGATAATGCCACTGTCACCGGGACTCGCCGGGCCCGTTACAAAACACCATCGGCAATGCGAGGGTGGGCCGCGGCGAAGAAGTGATTCGTAAAAAAATAAATAGCAGCGCTATTTACTTTCACTTGCACGTGTGGATATCGACATTCTTCACGCAGGTCTTGCACTCGACGTAGCAACACCAGTGGAACTTGCACTCGCATCTCTCTCTGATGGTGGACTTCTGCGTGTTGTACCCTCTGCCGCAGCAGAGAAGATTGCAGCCGTCCATGCCGGACGATGTTCTGTTGCACGCTCTGCCCTGTGTGCCTGTTGAAAAGAGGAAACTGATTTCGCATCGTCGAGACGCGTGTGAATGTCCGGGAGAAAAGAAAACGGGAAGAAAAACGATTCCGTTGGTGTGAATTGAATTTTCCATTGTCGGGGGGACCGGACGAAAATTCAGTTGTAGGGAACAGAAAGATTTCAGTAAGAGATTTCTATTCAGTCGATTGTTTCCAATTGTCTCAGCCGAGATTTAATGTAGCTGAGTGCTTCACGTGCGAATTTTCTTAGTCGCGATAACAGAGTTATCTTCTTGTCGCCGAGTTTCCATCCGGTCTCCGGGTACAGAAAAATCGCATACTAACGGAGTTGTTTCTTCCCTGTAATAACGGAGACGAGTTTGCAACCTATGCTATCAAAACAGTCCCATTCCTGTTTTCATTCTTGCAAACATATCCTTTCTCCTTCCACTGATCGGGCTCCTCTTGTCCGATAAGCGGAGGAGAAGAGGTTCCGCTAAAAATTTCATCATCTTTACTTTTATACTGTCTTTCTCCAATAGAGCTACCTAGTGATCCCAGAGTGTCGTTCGGAAGGCAGTAGTTCGGCGAGTCGTCCAGATAAACGAGATCGTTGGCAGTGGGCACGGAAAATCTCGGATCGCGCATTGACAAGCGGCCCCGCCGATTAACCCTGACCTCTGTCGCGCCATCGTACTTGTCTAGCAGAAAGTCGCCTGGAAGTATTGTAATATAGCTTAGTGATATGTTACGTAATGATATGTGTGTATAGTGAATGAAGGATGATTGTGTCTTATGGAAAATACGTGAGACGTTTGTGTGTATAATGTTATGGAAACTGTTTTATTGTATAACGACACACTGTCCAAAAATGAAGAAGTCTCGAGAGAGTTGCGAGTGAATGAAGCTGAGAAACTCGGGCACATTTTAAAAGTGCAATTCTTCGATAAATCAACATTTTCCCATAATACAGAAGGTGTTAGTTGCAGCAACGTTCCCGGGACGACACGAATGTCTGTAAACGTCTACGGAACGTCCCAATATGACGCGTAAAAATATCCGAATGATCCAAACAGAAGAGAACGTTTTAAGTGGTGTCATTTCGTCCGAATAAGTCTCAGTTGGCATTTTATTCGAGTTCTGTTCAAGTCTGGGAAAGTCGGTGACATTAACGAGACCTACCGATTTCGCGAAACGAAGCGAGCTGCTGCCAGCAGGTGATGAGGCTGCAGCTTCCGGAAACGCCGTGACATTTGCACGTAACCTTGGACCTTTTGATGACGGCCTGTAAGGACGAGTGGGCGTCACGCATCAGTTTCGTTTCGTCGGCCGCGACCGTTCAGCGAATTCGCATTATAAATCAGAGCGAAATCGATACGCGCGTACGACGCGACATTTAACGGGGCGCATTTCTGTCGGGCGAGCTAAAAAAAGAACGAACTTTACCCTGCGACCGGCCTCATTGTTGTGTAGATTCATCAGGCTCCTGCCCTGCTCCCGGCTGCCCCTTTTGAAGCTACGCTCGCGTTCCCGCACGTCCACGAACGCCTGCGTGAACCTGAAACACGTGCGCGTGGAAACAGCAACGCGCTCGTCTATACACTCTCGTCTCGGGATTTCGAGACACCCATTTTAATTAAACCGCATCGGCACAACAAACTAATCCCCGATATCCGATGAATAGCGGCGGCACCGGAATAGGACGCAAGAGCAAGAGCTTCGAGTCTATTTAGACGCGCGCGCGCGATAGAAACGCGGGCGAAAACGGGATTCAGCGGTATCCCGCGAGTATCGACCGCGAGGATCCAATTTCGAAATCGGAGAACAGTCGAAACCGCCTGGAAACGCGCTTTGTGCTGCAATAATCGAAATCTCTGTCGCGGATGCAGCACACGCACGAACACGACTTCGAGTTCTGTCGGGAGGAGGAGCTTCAGCGGAACGAGAAGCAAAATGCTCGGCACGATCCGATCTCGCGAAGATGTTTCTCATTCGCGATTTCCGACATCTCTGCGGAAGCCCATTCGAACGCTGTCGAGTGTCCAATTGTTATTGCCAATTCAATTACTTCGATTATACACTGTGACTTCACGGCCCGCTTACTTGTAGCCGTACTCCAGATTGTCCCCGCATCCACCCCAGATCCAGTCACGATTCAAATCCCTGGGCCTGCTGCTCCTGGAACAGCCGCACGACGACAGCTGACCGTCCCGGCAGGAACGGCTGATGGAGTAAACCACTCCGGCGGCGGTGATCGCGTGAACAAACGCGGTTTCTCTGCTCGCTGCAACATGTCACATATACACACATGTCTAACTCTTCGGATATGGTGTTCCAAAACGGAATGGAAAATGACGCAAGTATAAAAAAGTAAGTGTCAAGAGTTTTGTCTGATAATTTTCTTAAATTAATAATACGGTAATTCTGAAATTAAGTTAATAAGTAAACAAGTAAATTGAAATTAATTTAACACCCCTCTTTCTCTCTTAAATAAAACAGGTTGAGTAAAATAAAATCAAAAAATCAGATTACATGAATTAATTGAAGTGAAATCAATGTACTGAGATTAAAATTTAATTCAATTGAAATTCATTTGATTTGATCTAATTGCTTTACCTATAATCTTAACCTGATTTAGTTTAATATAAATTGATTTTAATTCCTTAAATGAAAAAAGCGCATTTTTCTTGGGACGGACCCTTGTACTAATTATATATTCTGAAGCTTGTTTCGGCAGAGATACTTCACTTTAACGCCGTGACACCTGAAAATCAAATGAATCGACGTACCTATTCGGAGCACCGGACCAAACACAGTCTCGTCGTGCACGGTAGAACAGTTCCACCGTCTGTCTCTGAATTGATGCTGGCACTCCAGGACGCCGAATTTCGCGCCCTTCGCCACACTGGACATGTGATCCACGGACAGTTGGCAGAGCTTCCCTTGGCCTTGAGACAAGCCCTTCAGAGCGCCGCAGATCGTAGAGGCACCCGCGTCGTACGTCTCCATCGTCTGCGCCGCTTCTAGTTGCGGGAAGTGACGTAGACCGAGGTTTCTGTCGTGCACAAGGTAACAGAAAAATATCGTATCATATTCGTTTCGAAATCTTAATTGTGCATCGTGACTAACACGGATCTTCTCGCTGGCAAAGATCCCGCCTGTTCGGGGAGTGAAACTTGTAATTCGTTACGAAGAGGAACGCGATTTCGACTCAACACTATGATTTCGTAAGTATAGGTAGAGGTAAGAACTGTTATTATTTTGAATATCTTTGAAAAATTGAAATATTTAAAAAATGCATTTATATCTGTTTTAATTTAAATAATAAATAATTATTATTATTTATGTAAATATATTATATATACTTATATATATATATATATATATATAAAATACTTTATTACTCATAATAATAATAATAAATAATTTGAATTTATTTACATTTATTTTAATAATACTTATTAAAATATTTAAAATTAACGACTGTATAAAGAAATGAAAAAAAAGGTGTTACAGAAAGTTTTATAGAAGGTGTTTCAAATGGTGGTAACTGGTACCGCGCAACGTAATGAGATCAATTTTTCTCCCGTCCTCATATTTCAAAGATATTCGAGGTGATGATAATAGTTATTGCCCCACCCTGTATATCCCAACCTCGAACAGCGGTTTTATCTTCGGCACCGATGGGCCGCACCGATTTCCTCGGTTACCCTCTCTCTTTCTCTCTCTCTCTCTCTCTCTCTTTTCACGTTCGTTTATTGTTCGCCGCTTTTCCCCAGGTATCCGCGCGTAAAGTACGAACGCAGCTAACTAACTATGGGTCACGAAGGCGTGCATCATTCCGACGGGCATCGAAAGCGAGACCGCGCCGATGCCACGACCGGGGCCCCCTAACTCCTGGAGATTTGTTACGCCGATTATATAAATTCGGCGCAGGGCGGCGCGACGGCTCGCGTCCGTGGGCGAGGAGCGGCCCTCGGATTTTCTCCGCGCCGGATCCTTAATGGCACATTTGTGAGTCAACCGAGCGAGATGATGGAACGGCACCGTCAAAGACAGAAGCCGGACGGGGGATGGGGGCGACTGAGAAAGGGGCCCGGCAATCTGAAATTCGAAACGGGCGGCCGACGCCGAGAGCAAGGGTTCCTATAGCGTGCACGCTCGCTCGCTCGCGTCGTTCGTTCTCCGCGTCGCAAATCGCGTCCCCGCGTTTATTCCCGCGAGCTCGACCGAGCTTCGAAGAGAATCCCCGAGAAATCGTCGGCGATTCGCTCCGCCAGGCTGCACGGACGATTGAACGGATATCTCGACGATTGTAACTCGCGCGGTTTCCGATCTCCGGCTCCGACAAAAGAGCTCGTTTCCACGCTGCCCACATTCACGTTTGACAAATAGAAATGATGCACTCTTCCTTAATGAAATGCAATCTTTATGTCTTCAAAATATGGATACAGGACAGCCTGGGAAGATAATCTCGTTAATCCTCGAATAGTAAGATAATCCGATATTCAATATGATAACAATATGGTAATGAAGAGGATTTCGTATCGGATGTAGTCTTGTTTAATTACAGATAAAACGGATATTTATTTTAATAGTTTTACAAAAGTTGCATTTTGCATTGGTTATGCATTACATTATTTATTTGCTTGCAACTTTTAAAAATGAAATAAAAAATTATATGCGATATAAAATATCTATTTTTTAGAGTCATTTCATTCACAATTTTTCATATTTAATCATCGAAACTCGAGTGATTCTTAATTTTATTTTATGATTTATAAACTTTTACGAATAGAAAATATTAAGGATTTTACACAATAAATATATATTAATTTGCAAGACATATTTAAAAATATTTTCATTTTATCTAGAATTTTTAAGAAATCGCCTGGAAAATCAGGGAATACTTACGGAATTTTTCTCGGGTTTGAGTAGACACTTTGTATTTGAAGAAACTACAAAATGCTTCTACCGGTCTGACCCACCTTGTTACACGCGTGATTGCATGAATCTTGTTATCCGAGGATTAATTATATTCCGCGCCGAAGCGAGCCGAAGTCGCACCCGGGCCGGCCGCGATTTACGCAGTAAGCCGCGACAACCTGCACGGCGACTCGGTGCAACCCGGACGACCTGTCCGAGCGTGACTCAGGTGAATGCTTGTCGGGGTTGTCGGTCATGTGAGGCGCCCGTTTTAGCCGTACCATAACAGTACGCATTACTTGGGAAGGTCCGAAGAACGACAATGGGAAATCTTCGAATCTGTGACTCACTGTACAGAGCACAACATTCCAGCGCAGTTTGGATCTCGCTATAACTGGGAATGCCCGGCGTTTGAGATAATCCAAACTCAAAGAGGCGTTCTTCGACACGTCAAGTGGTTGGGAAGTTATGGCGAAGAGAAAGTCTCGGGTTTAGGGATGTTGTGATACCATGAAAATATTAATATTATTAATATCGAAACGAGTATCTAATCAAGAGTATCGACATCAGTAGTATTAGTAAACTCAAATATCAATATCGATATTTGGGTTTTAGTATCGAAAAATAAAAAAAAAAGTTTAATTAGAAGAAATATAAAAATCAGAGAAGTATTTATCCTGCAAATTATTTTCATAAGGATTTAATTCGTCTAATAATCTTATTATAGTATAAAGATATTTCTACCTTCTGCACTGGACTTTCTACAGTTTGTGATCTAAAAATCTTAAAAAGGATATCTTAAGACTCTTGTGTACTCGCTACGACTGTCTTTGTATGATGACGTCAAAAGCGAGAAATCACGCCAGAAATGATCACGGCGTACGTGGAAATAAAACAATATACGCACAAAATGACTCTCGTAATCGACTCTCCGCACGTCTGTAAACATGTCCGGGCGCTTTTCTCTTTTGCTTCAGCAATCCAAAAATTACAGAAATCATAAGACAAGATAGGTTTAAAACGCAGGTTGCATGTTACACGAATTTTCACGAAGCAAAAACACATATCTTGAGGATCGGCTGGGTAGAAGATGAAAAAAAGATATCGAAACAAAGGAAATATTGATGTGGGCGCGAACATCGAAGAAAACATCGATACGGAAATATCCGGGAATTGAAAAAAAAATATACCGATACCGGTAGTATCACGATATCCTTATCTCGGGATGCGGGCTCGGGAGAAGAGATCTCTCGCTCGCTCCTTTATTAACGAAGGCGAAGTGCGCGTCCCACAGTTTCGCGCACACTCCGCGGTCGGAGCGAGAAAAAAAACCACGCGCTCACCGGGATGTTTCTCCGATCCTCGGTGAGTGAGGCTCCGATGAAGTTTCGATCTTGTCGCGATATCCCTGATCGCTTCGCCGCCGCCGAGCGAAGAGTCGTAAAAACCCGCGCGAGCGTCTAGGGAGTGTGTAATAGACGACATTAATATTCCGGAACACGCTCCGCCGGCGATATATCATCGGCTTTACACTCCCCTAAAACAATGGCGCGGACAATCGCGAATAGGGGGGGGGGAGGAGGAAGGAGCGATAATATTTCGACGGGGCACGGCCCACGCAGCGCGCGTCCGCGAGCGGGCCGTCGTCGTCGTCGTCGTCGCGCCGTGGGCCGCGGCTCCGAAAAGTAATGCCCCGTGTCTCCTAAGAGATTGCAGCTACATCCGCAGCGTCGGCGCGCGTTTATATACGGGGTGTCCCGAGGCGATCAGCCGAGGGCGGCCGAAGCCATACACAGGTACAAAAGAGCGAACCGAGTAATTAAGTTATGTGACAGTGTTAATTAAGCGGCTGGAAAATTGCAGCCGATGGGAAGAGCCGGGTGGAACAGCGCGCCGTCTTAAATTAACCCAGCGACGGCCGATTAAGTGACGTCAGAGTCGGCAGGCGATGCGAGTGGATTCAGAGGAATGGTGGTTTCGGACTTGCCGCTTCGTCGCGATCAGGTATGCGCGAGAACGTAGCCGAAAGTCGAGGCAACTTCACGGAGGTGAACTTGGGGTGACTTTCACCGAACTCTGATTAATCTGATCGGCGATTTTAAGTCGACCGTCGGTCGAATATTACTCTTGCTTTATCTTGCTACATGGTAAACAATTTGGTGTAAATAAAGATCCACGGAAATTTCCGTGTTAATTTAACATGGAAATACGTGAAATATATAGTAAATTCACCTTGTTAACGTATTACTTTTTAACGTATTCATCTTGTTAAAGTAATGTAAAAATTTCAGTGGACCGTTACTTAAGCCAAATTTTCTACCGTGTACTCAGAACACAAAATGACGTGAAAATGACGATGGACAAAGTGATCGAAACGTGAGTTTTTATAGCAATTTCCTCGTTATTTCGGCGTTATCGTCGCAGGATTAAATCGATAGATCGCCGAACGACAAGATACAGGACCGAAGATCGATGTGTCCACGATTCTTGTTACCACTCATCAGTCCACACAATCGGCGAAAGTCCACCCTTAGGAGCGACAGGTGGTAAAGCGCGGCGAGGATCTCCTCACGGGAGCGTGATCCACGCGGAGTTGATTTCGACGCGAAAAGAAAGTCCGGAGCGGCTCACAAAGGAGCGCGCGCGGGCGGCCGGGACATGAGGATTTGTCATGCTCGCATGCAGGATAGAACAGTGAGGGGCGAGAACGGCAATTCAGAGATTAGACACACTACGAGGCGAGGGTACGAGAGACGGGAACGAGCTCTCGCGGAGAGATTTTCGGGGGCACGGAGAGAGAGAGAGAGAGAGAATTCCTCGTCTCGAGGTTCCCACGATGCGCTCCAGCGCAGTGCCAGCTCTGATTTGTGCGGGCACAAAGCCCCATAAATTAAGGAGTCGCGTGAGAAGTCTCGACTCGCTTCCTCGCGACCTATTAATTTAGCCGATCGATCGAGATCCGCGCGAACGTGAGCTCGGCCGAGGAGGTATCGCGATACTCTACGCGGATCCGGAGGCGTAGTCGAGGAGAGGGACGGAGAGGGTGAAAGAGGTCGCAGCTACCAGGAGTAAAGTAGCGTTTCCCATTCATACGATCAATAGAATCCCGGTTATCCGATATTATACCGGGGAGCGTTCAGATAATCGAAGGTTCGACGAGAAAGAAAGGGGGGGGGGAGAGAGAGAGAGAGAGAGATTCGGATAAGGGGCTACATACTCGAATGGCTCGCTCGAGTTTCTTCCTCCTCTTTTTCCTCCTCTTTTATAAAAAAAACTATAATAGATATCAAAAATCCTATGACAAAGAGTAGAAACGTACTAAGAATCGCACTAAGAATATCTCTGCAAAACTACGGCTAAATCGGCCCAATAGTTTCCGAGATATTCTGAACACCGATTAGCGATGACGAGTCTCACGGAAGCAGCGGTAACAGCGTTTACGCATCAACTTTTTGCAATGAACATCATGTAATATGTAAATAAGTGTTGAAGAATCTCCCCGTCAAAAGGAGCGCATCTTCGTAAAGTGAACGACGGTGGTCGGCGGAAAGAATCAAACATTGGGCGTTTTTCGAGCCGCTCGGGCGTATGCAGACCCCATAATCAGACCTTCCATAGTGGGAGCAACGATGACGGCGACACCCCACATCGGCCGTTAGCTCACCCTTCGATCGACCGATATGTAGGACACCTCTTGTCCTTCGACACGCCGGCTTTTATTTTAAGAGTCGCGAGGCCTAATGAAAAAAATAGCAACGTCCCGTCTAACTATAAATACGCGCCGTGGAACCGGTTAACACTTTTAACGCGCGATCGGCCGCATAGAAAAAAAGGAAAAATCCGCGCATGCACGGACAGAAGGATACTCACATCCAAGTCCCCGGTACCGTTGAGGCGGCGGCCGCCGCCGTGGCGATGAGCAACAGCGATTTTAGCGCGAGCGGAATATTGCCGGCCGTCATCGTCATCGTCTTCCTCCCCCTGCAAGCATCAGAAGAAACGGCGATTTCGTTACGAGTGTTCGCTGATTAGAAGGCCGCGCGCGCCTATTAATTGCTTCATCAGGTAGAACCGCTGCACGTCGGTCGGTGAATTGAGTTTGCGGCGAAAAAGGCCAAAAGAGGGAGCAGCGGCAGGCGCAACGGTGAAATCAAGGTCAGATCGATGCATCACGGCCGCGATCCGCGCGACCGAGGAAACGGCGGCTTTTAATCGAACGGAACGCCGCACTCGGCTGCATCCGCCGCGAGCGTGATCTTCCGCTCTTCGCGGAATTCGCGAGCGATCCGCGATCCATATTCTCGTGTGCACGAAACGTCGGAGAGCGGGGTGTTTCGCGTATAAAACGTTCGCGTCCGAGACGGCCGTGGAGCTCGAATTCAAGCGGTTCGCCGCTGAACGAAGGGACAGATTTTTTTTTACGAATTAATCATACCGAGCTAAAAGCTGCATTGATTATTGGTCGCCCAACACTTCTTTTTTGCCGTTTAGTTCGGCAAACTGGCTCTGTGAGACCCAGAAATCTTTTCTAATATGCTCTTATTGGGATATCTATGAATCATCTCTGTCATGAGCTACCTCCCTCTTCTTAAGAAATTGAAATAGCTCTTATGTAAAAATTAAGTGCCTTTTGTGTGTGCTAATAATGTACTTTATTCTCAATTTTTGTGCTCGGGTGGTTTGGAGCAGAAAATCGCGATTAAAAATAAAGGTGTTGGCTTAATGTAAAATTAACATCCTATAAATGTGCTTATCCACAGTGTAATGTAAAAAAAATCAATTTTTTTATTTCTCCGCGGATTTTATCGATTTCTTTCCCAGGGGTAGAAAAATTCACATGAATTCTTCTAAATGAATTTTTCTACCCTTAGGGAAAAACTCAAGAAATTTGGAGAAAATTGAAGAAACCCGTTTTTTTAAAGTTGCGGATAAGTGCAGATATTATAGTTCTGAGAATATGCTAAAGGTAAATTTCAAAAATTTGTCGTAATCATTATTTTTAAAATAAATGACTTTTAAGATATAAGAGAAGACAATGTATCGATTCTACACAGGAAGGAGTAGAAAATTGTGCGCGCTTTAAGAAGAGAATCCTATATTTATATATGTATATAATCCGCGATTTAACAGCTAGAAGATCTTCGAATTTGTCGCTTGGGTCAATTTGACCCACGAATACCGAACAGGACTTAAGATATCGCCCACTCGTTGACACAGTTACGTTTCGTAATTGGAGTACAGGATTGCTGCGAGCGAGCAATTCGCGCTGGGTCCAGCCGGGCTCTACAATGTACGAGAGCGCCGAAGGGACCTCGCACTATTCAATAGACGACGTCCATCGCGATTTCTTCTCAGCGAGCAGACAGGACGCATATTCGAGCCGCAGGCGCGCGACGCGGACAACAGTGGGTTAAGTGATGGACTCGGTGAATTGTAAGTGGACCGAGCTTGTATCAACAGTTTGTGCAACGCAGAGAGAGAGAGAGCGAGAGGAGAACCGCTCGCGCTCGCGTCAGGCGTTCTCGCAAGGTGTAATGTCGAACCGATGTACCATAATCGTCCTGGACTCGGGTGTCTTTCCGTTCCGAGGCCAGCTCGCGGAGAAGCTGCCCGCTTGCTACCCACGGCACAGTGACGTAGCTGAAACGCGCGAATCCTCGCGCGAAGCTCACCGATGGAGCTCCCTTCCTCCGCTCTCTCGTCGGCATCGTGCACCGCATCACGACTGCCGCGTCGAAGAGACCGAGACCGAGTCGAATTCTTCAAAATAATAATAAGAATAATATCTTTAATGGAATTAAAAATTGCAAAGTCTAGAAGTATTAAAGACACTTGTTGAGAGCGATGAAAAAGCGCGGCAACAGCTGGTACAGCTGGTTTTATTGTCTTGCCAAAATATATATATAGATGAACAATGATATCTAATAAGTAAATAAGTGACGACACGAGGGCAGTAATTGAATTGAAAATAACGGCCCAATGAAAGACAATACCGTCATTGTCGCGCAGAAAAAAAATAGTCTTAAATCAATAACAAATATTCCCGCATATAAGCAAGAATATTACAATATTCTCAGAAGAATTTTACTCTTGAATTGAGCGCAATACGCGCATCGATGCAAATTCAATCAAATCAAGACCAAACATTTTCTAAGATTATAATATTCTTGCTTACACATAAGAATATCTATCATGGCTTCAGAGTAATTTTTTTCTTTTCCGAGTGCAATCGAATAATTGAGATAGATCTTTAATAAAGACCCAATTAAAAAGAAGAAAAAGGGGAGAGCAGGGAAAATAAACGAGAGCCCGCTCGCGGCCGATCTTTCCCCGACGGGATCGGCCGGGAGGGGTGGAACGGCGGGCTGCCGTATTCGTGGAACGCTAAGTAGCACTACAATACGGCGGCTACGTCCCTGCCCGCGGAACTGGTATACACGCGTACACGTGTATACACACGCCCGTACGTGCTTATATAGTACCGTCGTCGTCGTCTATCTAGCCCACGCGATCGGTCGGCGATATTAGCCGGCGTATAAAATGCATTTGTGATCACGGCGGGAATGTAAACGGCGTACTTGGGGCATACACGTCGCGCTCTCGCGCGCGGCCCGAGCTCGAATTATCAGCGATAAAGTATCTCGCTGGGTCTCGCATTGAACAAGACATGACCGGACGATATAGAGCGCAATAAGCGCCACCGCGTCTGTTACGGAACGAGCCGATCGCCGATTCCGTATGGCTGCATCATACGCGACTGCATCATAGAGACGCGCGCGGCTATAGTTATAATAGGCGCTGGGAGCGCGAAGGAGAGACAGAAACGGGAGGCAACGGGAGAAATAGAGAGACATTTGATATTAGCACGCACGTGTATAACGATGCATTTCTCGCCTCTCCCGGCCGCGCGCGCTTGCGTAATCCCTAAACGACGGGAGCCGGCGCGCGCGCGCTACCTGCCGAATCGTAAAATGTGATCATAACGCGGAGATGATTAAAACGTTCGGGGCGATGATTTACTTTCTCGGTTAGCCGCGCCGGCGATATATCAGCGCGGCGGATTCTTCGCGAGAAGGCTGAGAAAAACGAGCGAACTACCGGCCGCGGAGAGAGTGCGGGGGCAGAAAGAGAGAGAGAGAGAGAGAGGGGGCGGGAGGAAACGGCAAAATTTGCATAGGCATTTAAGAATCTTAGGGACATGAGCGCGGATTAGGGTCGTCGATACAGCCAGGTCGTTAATTGTATTCACTAGATAAGAGAGCGCGCGCGCGAGAAGCGCATTCGAGAGCTCGAGCCTCGCGAGCGGTCGAACGGTCCCCCGGGGAATCGGCTCTAGATTTTCACGAAGAGTGCCAAGACGACGACTCGAGCCCTCTTAACGAAGCTGGAAGCTAAGGACGGTGTACACACACTCGAGGTGCACGTACGCAGAAGAAAACGAGAGCCTGTCTACGAGGCCGGAAGGGCGACGAGAAAGGGGAGAGAGAGAGAGAGAGAGAGGAAGAGAGACGGAGAGAAGAAGGTGGGATGCAGAAGGAGCCTCGCGAACGGCGAGAACGGGAGGACGAAGCGAGATGAAGGAAAGAGAAAGAGAGAGAGAGAGAGGGCGGGAAGGAGAGGGAGAAGAAGAAGGCAGGAGGAAAGCAGAAAAGATGGGAGATCTGAACGTGGACGAGGAGGAGCACGGGGAGCGTGTACAGTGAGACCGGTCGACGATTGTCAATACGGCTTGCACGGGAATACGACTTACTAGAACAATCATAGAGAGCCGAGCGGAGGAACCAGTTGACTCCGGGAAAACGAACTGTTCGGTAAAAAAAAAAAAGAGAGAGAGAAAAAAGAAAAAAAGGAAGTCGTTCCGCTCCTTAGGTACGAAGATCAGCACACGATAGGGAGACGGTTTTAAATGGGGAGACGAAGCTTACTTTTAAAGTACAAATAAGACCAAGGCCTACTCGCGATACATTATCATTTCCTCCTTCGTCGCAAAATGCGAGGAACGCGCTTGGCGATTAACGTGAAAGAAGAGCAAGTGAATAAGGCAAGGCGAAGTTCTAATTACATCGGTAAATTTCGCTCGGGCGGAACTTTCTAATTACACGGGTAATTCTCGATATTTTTAGCGTGAGAGTGCAGCAGCACGATATCCGATAAAGCGTGCATGCTCGAATGAACGAGGAGTTGGCCAAGATGAATGGAGAGTCCTCGAAAAAATTGCAGCCACGCCGAAGAATAATTACGTACATCAGGAGGGATAGCCTCTTTTTATGAGTGCGCGAGAGGAACAACAAAAGGCGTTCGTTGGACATTGTAATCGTTGATTACACTCACTGTACGTGCGTAGGTATCCGGTACTCCGGCCGAGCCGTAACTCATAACTTTTATGACGCTTTCGTGAAGGTACCTTATTAACATTCAGCCGCACTAATTTATCCCGGGAGAACGGACTTTTAATTGGGAAGTATCAGAAACGGCGTCGTACAGCTTCTCGAGGGGATTGTTATTATAAATGTAACTGCAATCATGACGCGCCCCGGCGACTCTTTAGCTCGCGGACTTTAATGGCGACATGCTGCACCGTCAAGTCGGCACTTTTAATATCGAGCTTTCGCTTATTAATCCGTTAAGATTCACAATTGTTTGGCGCGAAAGGATCTTGCTGAAATCAAAATTGTTTTCTTACTGTTTTATTTACCGCCGGAACTTTTTATAACAATTTATTTCTTCGTAGAAAACTATACATGTTTGAAAAATAGATACTAACGGAGATTTAAGGGAATATTATTATTCAATTTTTAAATTACCTTAATTTTTTACGAATTATTAATTAACTTATTTATTATAATTTATTTCATTGATAATAAAATTATTTATTAATTTATCATTAAAATCATTTCAATCATAACATTTTTATCTTAAAGAGACCAATAAGATCTTAATAATAATTATAATTATCTCAAAGAGCCAATAAGCGAGAAATC